TTTATAAAGAGAGATAAACTCGAAGTGATTATCACATACTAGTTCATAAAATGAACGACAATGGTAGATAACGAGATAAAAACAACTACTTTCCTGGCTATATGCCACGCAGAACATTGCATAACATCCTCCCGAAATCTATGCGATAGTTCGTATAAACAAATAAAATCGCAAGTGTTTCCTTCCTAAACGCTGAGCTGCGCTTAAGTGGTTCAGGAACGCTGACTACCTGCAGACCGGTTTCGAGCCCTTGGCTCTCATCAGTACAGGGCTGTCCCAGATAGCTTCTTGACCGCTATCTGGTGCGAACCTGACCCAACGTAAACGCATCTCAGCATTTATACCATACGAGGCGTTCGACGTCTGCGAAATAAAAACGCGAACGCCAAACGCTACCTGGCAAGGAAAGAAACACTCCAAAACAGAATATCATTTTAGGTAAAATGGGAGTGGCTGGTTGCCCGACATGGTCACAAAGAGAGAGAAACTCAAAGTCATTACCACATTCTAGTTCATAAAATGAACGACAATGGTAGATAACGAGAGAAAAACAACTACTTTCCTGGCTATATGCCACGCAGAACATTGCATTACATCCTCCCGAAATCTATGCGGCAGGTCGTATAAACGAATAAAATCGCAAGTGTTTCCTTCCTCAACGCTGAGCTGCGCTTAAGTGGTTCAGGAACGCTGACTACCTGCAGACCGGTTTCGAGCTCTTGGCTCTCATCAGTACAGGGCTGTCCCAGATAGCTTCTTGACCGCTATCTGGTGCGAACCTGACCCAACGTAAACGCGTTCGACGTCTGCGAAATGAAAACGCGAACGCCGAACGCCATATACAGTGTGTCCCACTTACCATGCTCACCATGGGTATCTTTTTAACGGTGAGAGATACGAGGTCGGTTGAATGACACCAAATGTGGAGTTTGTCAAGGCCAACTATAATGTGAAAATATATTTTGATAAAATCTATTCGTTTTTGTTTTATACGCAAAAAACATATTTTGATCATTTTCATGTCACCTCCGTAACTTCTTTATTTATGGAAATATTCAAATAGGAATTTCACATTCTCATGGCATTCTCCAAATAATTTTTTGTCTTTGTATAAATGACGATAACTCCGTTGGTATCAACACAAAACTATTACTGCGACATATCATCTGTAAGAGATAAAAAAGGTATTTGTAACTAAGTCATAGTGAGCTATGACCTACATTTTTTGAAAAACTAAAGTTGGTGCTGATATCTCAAATTCTAGAAGAGTTGGTATAAATTTCATATTTTTTTCGAAATCACTCTAAGAAACTGTCATGAGAATGTGGAATTCAAATTTGAATATTTTCATAAATAAAGAAGTTACGGAGGAGACATGAAAATGATCAATATCTGTTTTTTTGCGTATAAAACAAAAACGAATAGATTTCATCAAAATATTTTTTCACATTATAGTTGGCCTTGACAAACTTCACATTTGGTCTCATTCAACCGACCTCGTATCTCTCACCGTTAAAAAGATACCCATGGTGAGCATGGTGAGTGGGACACACTGTATATTTCATTTATTTTCATTTATTACATCCATTTATTCATATATAATTTCTTGGTATAATCCAACAATATAATTTTTTATATAATTACATGGTTACATACTTATTATCATGCACCTAGGTGTAGACACCTGTATGTGCATAGCATACAAGGGTGATATAATTTATTGAAAATTTTCCTATGTACATACATAGGTAATTCTAACCCAAAGAAGAATAATTATTGAGAATGATAGGTTATATGTTTTTAAATAATTATAACCCATATTATATTTCTGCAAGATTGATGTGAAATTTAAGAAGAAATGCGCTGAAAAACATAATCAACATGAATAGTAACTCAAAAAATAAACTATTGGGATAAGTGATTATCTGATGTTAAGGTTATCCATATATACATAATAATTATTGTATATATGAGTTCTACACATTCTAGAAAATATATGGTATTAGTGTGCATTTCTGATTTCCATAGGCAGTAAATTATAGATTCTAGGGGCTACACTTCTTGAAAATCTCATGGTGGCGTCTTTTTGACAAAAAGGGACAGATAAATAATTGTTAAACACTTGTCGAGTATCATGAGAATGCGATACAAAATCCAGTGAGTCTTCGTTTCTTAATACAAATATGCAATTGCTGTGGAAATACAGCATTCTGGCGTTAAGAACATTACAATTGTATAATAGAGCTGTTGGGTACAGCCGATCTTTGAAATGTTTTATCTTAAGTATGTAATTTTGTATAACGTTCAACGGTTTAAGTGCATTGCTGTAGAGACCACCCCATACCAGGATTCCATAGCTTAAAATAGATTCTACTAGAGCTTTATATACCATTATCAAGAGATGCCTTGTCATGAATTTCAGTCTATTAGTCAGATTTGTGACAAGTCTAACCCATTTGAGATTTTTATCGATGGTAATACCCAGATATTTAGCCGCCTCTGATTCATTTATCTTCAAGTTTGTGTTCCTAATATACAGAGAATTGAATTCTGGTCTATTTGCATTGTTCAGGGAGAATGCAATGTATGTTGTTTTTTTAATGTTCAATGAAAACTTTTGAAGGTAGAACCAACTTTTCACTATCAGAGTACCTTGTTCAGCTTTCATTCTGACATGGTTCAATGAATCACCTTTGAATAGAAGGACTGTGTCATCAGCATACGATATTAGAGTGCCATCTATATTGGAAGAAAGTAATGAATTGATGTAGGTTATGAAAAGCAATGGTCCAAGTACTGTGCCTTGTGGAACACCTATGAGAACATCTACTGGATCACTGATTTGGTTTCTAATTTTCACATGTTGAGATCTATTTATCAGGTAACTTTTAAAAACATTTAACGCGACGCCCCTCACTCCGTAATGTTCAAGAACGTTCAGAAGATTTCCATGGGGCACCGTGTCAAAAGCTTTTGCAAGGTCTAGAAATACCCCAATACATTTTTGGTTAGATTCTGAATTATCTTTCATTTGATCTATCAAATCGAACATGGCATCACTGGTGCTGGTTCCTGCCTGGAACCCATATTGCTTCTTATTTAGAATGTTCTTATCTAGTAGAAATTTGCTTAACCTTTTCTTCAGGGATTATTCAAATATTTTTGCAAAAGCACTAATGAGGCTAATTGGCCTTAAGTTAGTTATACTATTCTTATCACCCGATTTGAATATTGGCACTATTATAGACTTTTTGAAGTGATCAGGAACTTTTCCATTTAAATAAATCAGATTGAAAATGTGTATTAGAGGATCTACTACGTGTAAATGATTGTCTTTCAATAGTTTTTTGTTTATGTTGTCAAAACCTGGAGAGTTGTTATTTTTCAAGGATTTGATATGCATTATTATTTCATTTCTGTCGACTGGCGATAGAAACATAGATTGTTTTATTTGAGGGAATGTCATCTCAGCATCAATTTTTTCAGCCATTTTAATTCCTATATTTGAGTAATAAGTATTGCAGTAGTTTGCCATCTCTTTATCATCAAAAAAGGGTATTTTGTTTTCAACTACAACAGTTATATGATTGATCGATGTAGGATTGTTATTTTTGTTAGTGGCCTCATTAATCAGTTCGAATAACTTTTTTATATCATTACTGTTATTGATAATTTGTTCAGAGTAGTAATTTGATTTTGCTCGTACAATCAGTTTATTTAGTTGATTTCTATAATTTTTATAATCATAATATAACTGTGGACATTGCTTATGTTTTATTGCATTTTTTTTCATCTTATCCCTACGTTTTATTGAGTTGATTATGGCATTTGTAATCCACGGCTTAATTTTTTTGTGTTCTTTCACACTGAATAAAATAGTTGTTTTTGATTGATCGAGAGCGTCAATGAACTTATTGAGAAAGTTACCCCATGCGGTTTCAGGATCTTGGCTTGAGTAAACCTCAGTCCATTGAGCCTTACTCAGTAATTATCTGAATTTGATGTAGTCAATTTTCACAGCACGTTTTTCGGTGGGATTATTGTTATGCGATTTATTGTAACTGATATTCAGGAAAATTGGATAGTGATCCGTTATATCGTGGTTGATTACAAAAGGATTAAATTCGTATTTTCTCGCATTGAGATTTTTGCGTACAAATATGTGATCTAAACAACTTTGGCTTTCTGGTGTTACTCTTGTGTGGGTGTTGATAAGTGATGTGAAGCCAAAATATATGAGTATAGAAATGTATTCATTAGCCACTACTGACCCATTGTCAAGGATATCAATATTCAAGTCACCAATTAAGATGTCAAAATTTGTTCTGGGAGTTTCCGATTAAAAATGGTCTACGTCTCCTAAGAACAGGCTATCAGCTGACGATGGTGTGATATTATATGATATATTGTTTAATTGTTACCTTTGTTAAAGGTGAGACTGTGTGTTTAATTTCATAAGTGATGCTACTATTCACGAACATGAGAACTCCGTCACACTGGTTTAGCTTACTTCCATTAAAAATATTTGTGAATCCTGGTATTGTGAAGTCCTCCACAGAGTCAATGCACCTGGTTTCACCAAGTATTATGACATCAATATCTGTAAGTTTACAAGTTTCCAAAAAAATCAGTTGCTCATCAAAATGTTTCCTAATACTTCTCATGTTCAGGTGAAGAATTCTGATTACGTTTGCGTTATCAACAATTAAGGCATTAGATTTTTCAATAAATTCATCAATGCAGTATGCTTCTATATCTTGTTCACTTTTTAATTCGGTTTCTGAACCATCTAGTATATTCAATTCACTAATATCCATGAATAAAAAGAGAAATTGAGAAACAAAAATCATATGAGTAGAAAAAATCTATTGAAAAAAAGTGATGAATTTATGGAAAATTCAATTATTTGCAGCTATAATCAATATTGTTTTTATATCGTTCCGTATAAAATTTCAATGTAGGACATCCTTTATAATATGCTTCGTGATGCACGTCGTATTCTAGATTTGCAAATTTTTCCATCGATTTTTGGCAGTTACAACACTTCTTGTATTCCTTTGGGCGTTGATTGATCTATGTTCTCCTCCACAGTAGGGGCAAGTTAACTTGTTTCTACAATTAGTGTCCTTATGGTCATATGCGTGGCATGTTTTACATCTTGGAATATTAAGGTCTTCGTACACCGGGCAACGTTCCCAACCGACATATATTCTTTTGAAATTCATAAGTTTCGGAAAAGTTGTGCCAGAACATTCAGCGAAGATGATTTGTTTTCCAGAATTGATTTGCTTCATAAAGGTAACATTGATATCATCATCAGGACCAATGAATTGGTTCTGCTTCATTGAGCACTCTTCAATTTCTTCTTTATTCATTGTTGTACTACTGGTAATAATCTTAATTCTAGGTTTTTTCATCTGAGATAATTTGATTCCATATTTTTCTCCCAATTTCTTATTTTTCTGTGTTTCTTTCATCAGTTTATTAGCTCCTTCTTCCGTATTGCATTTGATGACGAAGCATCCGTGCTTTGATGTCTGTATAGAGTTTATTGATACATTTATCTTTTTGGGATCAATAGTGTCCTGTATTTCCTTCTTGGTTACTTGTGAGTCTTGAGTAATCGTGGGTTTTATTATTATTGCTGGTACATTGTTTGTTATTTTCTGATTTTGGGATGGTTGTGAATTTTTTGTCACACTCGAGTAACTAGGAGTTGTGTGGGTTTCTTTTAATTTGTTCAATTCTTCCTCTAGCATTTTTATAATTTTATCTTTATCATTTATAATTGTTTCTTTGTCTGCTATTGCGTTATTTAAGAGATCAATTAAGTCATTACCACGGCATTTAATGTAATGGAATTTCAGGGATCGTTTTTGAAGTGGCATACATTTTATTTCAGATGAAGAAAGATCAGAGCACTCACCACAAATATAATTTCTGCATAAATCACAAGCAAAGACGGGATTCTTTGGGTCCCTTATCGAAGATTTCTGTTTGCAGTTTATTCATTCTATTTTCGTGTCCATCTTGTTGCCTTGTATTATTCATAGCATATTGGAAGGTAACGCCACTGGTTAATTCTGCTTTGTGTATCGTATATAAAAAACGAACAATTGTAAAAGAAACAAGACTAACAAAATATTTACATGAAGGCTATAATACGGTACGGTACGAACGTGTTTTTACAACTACAGTTTATCAAAATCTTGATGTAGATCGTAACATTTATATATAAAAACTAGAGATCATATGCAAAATACTCTTCCGAACTATAGAAGCACTTTCCCATCATAAGGTTTTTTACCGATTTCCTAAATTTGTCCTGATCATTGATTGCTGTTATTTGTTTCGGTAAATGATTATATATCTGCATCCTACTAATATTTCCGAGAATATCTGTCTACTTCTATAGATTTGGGAATGCTTGGTCAAAGTTGATATGGAGAGGAGAAGGACAAGTATCATCTCCTTTCGTATATGCCTTTCTGCTCGATTCAAGAACTTTTCTTAATGTTTGTGAAGCAAGCAAACAGTCTCTATAATACAAATTTCGAATATTGTTAGTATTTCATATTTGCAGAAAATTGGCCTACACGAGTCGCGAATCCTCTTTTTGAATATTATTCTCATAGCTCTTTTTTGAATGACGAATATACTCTGCAATAAAACCTGGGAGGCAGAGCCCCAAAATGGAATTCCATACCTAAGATGACTCCCCATGAGTGAAGCTGATGCGGTTATTGAAGCTGAAAATCCGAGTTCACGAGATATGACATTTACGACAAAGCAACCAGAAGACAATTCCTTTTTCAGTGCATTAATTTGTGTGTCAAACTTCAAATTACTATCAATAAATATACCGTGAAATTTTGTTACAAGTTAACTTTCAACCGTCTGACAACCTAAAGCTACCTGATCCAAATATCACTCAAATGTGACCAGATTTGTTTTAGAAAGATTCAGCGACAACATATTCGATTCACACCAATTTTTATTTTCTCTAAATCAGAGTTATACACTCTTCGAGTCGAAGTGGCCGGATCTCCATCACGCCAAAATATTGTGGTGTCATCCGCAAATAAGGTGAATGTTCCAGATATATCCAATTTAGCCAGATCGTTAACATATATCAAGAATGAAATTGGGCCCAAGACTGACCCTTGAGGAACTCCGTTTACTATTATTCCACTTTCGGAAGTATTATTGTTCAAAGATATTTTTTGACTTCTACCAGTGAGATAAGATCTGAACCATTCTAATGTTGTTTCCCGAAATCCATAATGGAAGAGTTTCTGCAGGAGGATCTCATGACACACACAATCGAACGCCTTAGGAAGGTCCAGAAATACTGCCGCAGCCACTTCCTTATCGTTCAGAGTTGTGTAGATGTTTTCAAGTAAATTAAAAATGGCATCAGTCGCATTTATCATATTGAAATCTAAATTGTACGGGAGTTAAAATCTTGTGCTTTCCCAAAAAGCCCATTATCCTGCGTTTGACTAGTTTTTCGATGATTTTTGATGACGTTGATAGAATTGAGATCGGTCTGTAATTACTAGGGTCATCAATGGCACCTCCTTTGTGGAGTTGTAACACTTTCGCAGATTTTGAGCGTGAAGGTAAACGATGTATTTATAGCTGTTACTAAGGCTTCCAGAGCATCATCCGGTAATTGAAAGAGCAGCTTTGCTGAGAAGTTGTTTTCACCAGCAGAGTTTTTATTTTCGATTTTTATCATCACAGATTTTAGTTCACTCAGATATGTATCATACAAAGAAAGAGAGTCATCTTGTTCAAATTATGAAGTGGATCTACTATTGGTATAATATCTCTGGTTATTTCTGATGCTACTGAAAGTAATATTCATTCAGATGGTTTAAGTTGATCTTTATTTCTGGTTGATCCTGTTTCTTATTACCTCTCAAGTCGTTTATTATTGTCCACATTTCCTTTGGTTCATTACCTGCCTGATTCAGTCGGTCAGTATAATAGAGATAATTGGCTAATTTTATAGTTTGTCTGTAAATACGACGGAAGTTATTGAGGTATGAAATGAAAAATATATTGTCACTATGAAATTTTCTAATGGCATGCAGGCATCTTAGATTCTTTGAAGAAATTTTAAGTCCTTTTGTGAACCAGAGTTCGGACTTTTTTCGTTTCAACGAGGGCATCAGTGGAAATGCTTTATCAAAATTTTCATAAACAAGTTTCTGAAATTCATTAACTGGATCTTCTGTTTCATTTATAGAATCCCAATATGTGGCTTGACATAGATTCAGGAAATGTACATAGTTTTTTCTGCTATATATTAGTCCATACTGTTTGCCCTGGTTCATGATTGCATCTTCGAGAATGTTGGGGATGAAACAAAAAACTGCTTTGTGATCAGATAGACCTGGCTTGATTACTGAGGTCGATACATCCTCGATGTTTGTACAGACGTAATCTATAATACTCGATGAATAATTGGATATACGGGTGGGACTATCTACATGCATAACTAGATTAAAGCAGTCTAACAAGTTAGTGAGTGTTCGGATTTTATTGCATGTTTTGTTTTCATAATGTATATTGAGGTCTCCAGTTAAAATTTTTGATGCGAAGGGGGGTAAATTTGATAATAAATATTCCAGTCTCTCGATGGGGATGTTATGCTCTTATGAAGGTGGCCTATAGACACACACTTTATAGACATTACTATGTTGTGAATGAATTATTGAAAATTCAAATTCTTTCTCCACAATCAAATTGTCATATCTGTTAATGTTCGCAAAAGTGAAAGTTTTCAAGAACTCTGTTTTAATCATTTTCAGAGTTCCTTCGTGCATTGAGTTTATTCTGCAATATTTTGACATGATGAAATAACCAGGCATATGAATTGGTTCATCAACTTTGAGCCAATGTTTTGTCAAAAGGACAACATCCGGCAAATTTTGCTGTTCCAGAAATATATTTAGCTCATCAGCTTTGTTGCGTAAAGATTACATATTTAGCAACATTTATGACATACAGTCGCTATTCTGTTCTGATCTAGTCCCAACTGAAATAGACGGAGGTATGAAAAATATTATCCGGGATCACTTGTTCATCAGGGATCACTTCATTGCCTTTTGAAAAATGTTTATTCCGCTTGGTGTTCGTGTAAATTTCTGTAATTTCCAACTCCTGACGTAGATTTTCATAGTACCTGTCTTTTGTACACTCGACCGCATTTCCTCGTCTTTTTTCCATAATAATTGTATCATCTACAGCAGCTATCTTTTCACACTTCTCAATGGTGTTCAATACAGCTCTACTTATGAATGCTCTTCCTTTGATGTTTTTATTGCCGTTTCTCTCATAGAAGTTACTCCCAAGAGGTTGTTACATTCGAAGGCAAGAATATTTGAACTCCTACTAGCATGGAGATGCTTGACAAAGGATAAGTTCCTACGATATATGTATTGGTTGTTGATTTTGGGGTTGTGATGATGAGAAAAAGATGAAAGGACATTTTTCTGGGTTCAGAGTGATCAAGAGTATCGAAAATGGAAAATGGTACGGTGATGGTCCATACAATATCGAGAGTGGAGTTCAAATTATAGAAATGGTGATACATAGCCCGATCCCATCATACATCAAAATGGATGGATCTACCTCATTAGTGACGTATCTCAACCAAGTACGCACCTGCATGGTTTGTGATGCTCCTGGACATGTGAGAAAAGATTGCCCAGAACATCCCAATAATAGAATTGAGGAGATAAGAAAACCCCCGAAGACGACACCTGAGAAGGAAACAGAAGGAATCACATATGCACAGGTATTAAACTCTAGCGAGAGGGTAAGAGAACAAGCCCATAGCGGAACTCAGGACACTACTGTGGGCGTACAAGACAGTGATGATATTGAACAGCCGGATGAGAGCATAGCCGAGACTCAAAACGACGCATGGTACAATATCATGGAAGCAGAACCGGCGCTTAGCCAGCGGATGGAAGTACTAAAGCCTCAAGCATCTTCAAGTTTGAGCATGGGTATTGAGACACCGTGCCCGAATCAGCAAGCTGAGAAGAATAGAAGAAAACGAGCAAAGGAAGTGAACAAACTTTCGGATTCTAGCAGTGGAGAAAAAAAGGTGCCAAAACTGATACTAAAAAGGAACAAGGACAATGAAATACATAGAGAAGGCTCAGATGATGATGAGAGTCCAGACTCTCCATATTAATCACAATACCAAAGTTTCTTGCTAATAATGGTAAGTTTATTCACAATCGCATCAATAAATGTCAAGTCGATGAAACAGATGAGTAGATAACAGGGCTTAGTGTTTATTATGAAGAAGTATGATGTTAAAATTATCTTTATAAAAGAAATCAATTGCGAATACACCAGTTGTCCATGAAATTATAAGTTTATTGCTAACGTGAGTACCCACGATAGAGGAACAGCGATCATGTTCAGGAAAGATTTTCTGTAGTGAAGACGGCAGAGTGATTTCGGCTACTATCAACAAATACCGCTTCATCAACATATACAGCCCTTCTGGAACCGAAAAGTACAGAGAGAAAAATGAGTTTTTTTTAAAAGCATCAAGCTCACATCTAGATTTCAATTCACCGATTATATAAATAGGAGAATTAATTGTATTATAAAACAAGAAGACGCACGTAACAACAAAGTTGCCACCTGTAGAACTCTGTATAATGTTAAACAAAACCTGCATCTAAAAGACACATGGAAAGTCATACATAAAAATAAAGTGTTATTCAACTTTTGCAGAGGAGATTTCACCTCTAGAATTGATAGAACTCACATCTCGGAACAAAATGCAAACAAAATTCATGACATTCAAACTATACCTATAGCATTTTCTGATCACCATGCGCTCCTAGTGAAGATTGAAAGTGAGCAAATAAAGATTAGTCAACATGGATGGGGTTCTTTTAGAATGAAATCATCTCTTATCCACAATGACAATATAGCACTAATCCTAGAAAATCTAGAAGTCTACTAGTCGGACATAGTAAAATGGTGGTTCAATATATTCAGTTAGGGCTTCCTCCAAAAACGGAGAGATTACTAGAGCAGTGGATAGAAAAGAAATGTTTGACTTCTATAACGAGACGCTTTTCGAATTGGATGATAGGTATGAGAAAGGTGAAAATGTACTGCGAGAAATGAAAGAAATAAAACTGAACATGATTTTCCTCAGAGAAGAATTCTCAGAGGAGAATATGATGAATGAAGAAGCTATTTGTGATCGACACTCACTCTACAGTATAATCGGCAAAGCAAAAAATGCGAAAAAATGCACATTAGACTCTTGAAAGACGATCAGGGAAATACGATAAAGGGTGAAAATTCGCTTCTCAATTATACAAGAAATTTTTTTGAAGAGAAATTTGGTGTAGGGAAACAACTCACATCTAAGGATGCGAGATGTTCACTATAGCACATAAAAACAAGAGTGAGTAGACAAGAACAAAGCACTCTGATGGTGCCAATTCTTGAGGAAAGAATTGAACAAATAATAAAAAACGCCAAACAAAAAACGAGCCCCAGGCCCCGATGGACTCTCGTACGAACTACTACTGTGATACTCTAGTATCACCCTACAATAAGATTTTGGATGATAACATCAGTATACCAAAAAGCCTCTCTGATGGAGTGATTATTTCAACTCCAAAGGGAAAAGACCCTGCGACCCTTGATCAGTTTCGTCCAATAACACTGTTGAATACGGATTATAAAATTCTGATGAAAATTTTCATAATAAGGTTAACACCTATAATTGGAAAACTATCAGGTGAGGAGCAGGCTTGTGGTACCGAGAAATCAATAATACAATCTGCTGCTGAACCGTGATATAATTCCACATTTTTAGCGGAATAATTCGTAAAACGCAGCCATTTTGGCGTGGGAAATGAAACGTGCATTTGATCGAGTTCTACATAAATTCATGTGGATGGTGCTAAAGAAATTTAGAATTCTGGTAACATTTTCACACTATGTAAAAGAGATCCATGAAAAAGCATCGTCAAAGATAAAGATCAACGGCTTTATGACTGACACTATCAAAATTGGTTCATCCGTACGACAAGGCTGCCCCTTGTCAATGATACTTTTCAGTTCGAACATTGAACCATTTCTGCGACTAATAGATTTTGCAATGACAGGAATTAATATGAATAGCATGAAATATTGCTGCTCAGCATATGTGCACGATATCAGTGTATATATCACTAACGATACAGATATCAAAAATATTATAAAACTAATCAATATCTACGAGAGAGGAACCGGGATGCGAATAAACTATAGTAAATCATCAATCATCTCTCTTGGTAGATGGAACAATAGACAAGATGTGGGGTATCATCCTTTCACGAGGACTGGGGAGATCAAAATTCTAGGAATTACATTCAAACACAGTATCAAACAGACAATTGAAAAAATTATGTCAATCTCATGAAATCAGGGACTATTATACTTCATAGTGAAATAGGGAGACATCTGGACCTCATTGAAAAAATATGGTATATAAACACCTACGTAATCCCCAAATTATGGTATGTGGCACAAGTACAACCGATATGTCATAAATATTGCCAGAAAATGGTTCTACAAATTGGGAAATTCTTGTGGGAAGATTCATTATACAGGGTTAGCAGAAATCAATTATATATGACAAAAGACAAGGGGGGTTCGAATATAATCAATATAGAAGATAAAGCAAAATTCCTGTTTCTTAAAACGCATATACTTACAGTTGTATCAAAAAAGTAATAAAAAAATTGAATATGAATCCGCGTTAAACAGAATGTTTGACCCACAGACAACTATAAAACACATTTGAAACCATTTCAGGAACATATATAAATATTTTATAGCACTGCAGATTAACCCAAATGATAAACATTCAACAAAATCGTTATACAATCTTCAAATGTAGAAGAAGATTATCAATCCAAGAATTATGCAAAAATATCCACAGTATGACTGGAAAAAATTTGGAAATCTCTAATGACGAAAAACATTCCAACAAGTTCGAAAGCATCTATGTACAAGGTCATAAATGAAATATACCCAACGAATAGTGAACTAGCTAGACATAATCTCGTGGACACAACCAAATGTAAAGAATGCTCCACACAGGAAGATACAATCAGCCATCGTTTAATACAATGCAAAAATTCAAAGCAAGTCTGGTTATGGATTGTGAATAAACTCAAAAACGATTCGAATATAGATATCACTTATCAACATACTATTTTACAATATTAAGAGCATAGAAATGTAGAGGTAGAAGATGTAGAAATGTATAACTGGTTCATAATTGCAGGTGCCAATTGGAACATGGAAAAAGATAGTGATTTTGAAAACTTTTCCCTTTTTTGTCTCCGTTCGACACCTAGTCGCGAGCAGCGTGAAACCTCATTTTATATTGCCAGTGACGAACAAGATCTCCAAAGTAAAATTACACTCACACCACACGATAGCCACTTGTCACGGTTTCCGAAGTGTCCTGTGAGAAAGCGGCCTGATGTAGACAGGGCATTTTGAAAGGTCAGAGTACCTTCGGATGGAAATAGGAGTCTCTCGCTTTCTCTCTCTAGGGAAAATTTGTTGAGATGCCACGAAAATTTCGTACTCTCGAATTTTTGAGCAAAAATAATGACTTTCTCAATATGAAGGGCGATCAACACCTTTGAGTGAGTATTGAAGCCTTCTGCGATAAAATGCACTGGAATTTATGTACGTAACAATAATAAAATACATCAAAAACACATGCATCATGATGCTCTCTTTTCAGGCCTTTCTTGGGTATACCTACGGTCATTTTGGTACAGTCGTGTCGTTGATGAACATGACGCCATGCTGATGGTGCACAAGATTCAAAATCCTGTCATTTCAACCATTATTGCTATTGTTGCAATATTACTTGTTGTTCCTTCTGAGATGTTCAATATCCTGAGCCCATGCTAAGAATGCCATAGTAACTACCACTGTTGACAGTTCCTCCGGATTTTGTATTTTCGTTATGGATGCTGAACCTGATGAGTTACTCATAACTGTCTGGAGATTTTTTTGATTGAAGCTACGCTATACTTATTAGGATGATCTATTGTAAGCAGAATTTTCACATATTTTTTGCCATCAACCTGATGACAAGATGGATTTCAACTCTTGATTATATTTTGTACTATATATCTCACTGTCAACTATTATATACCTTCTCCTTTGTGAGAAAGTGATCATCAGCGCTGATAGTCCAATTCAAAGGACTTGGTTATATCTTCCAAAATTCATATCACATTTTGTGGACCAATATATTCACCATGTATTTCATATTGAAGCCACAGTGAAGCTGAATTGAAGATTTAAGTAGCACTTATATCTTGTATCTATTAGTACTAACGGATTCTGACTTATACAGTTTTGTGTACTGTTGAATCCTGAGAGATCATGAAACTGTTGTGACTATTCATGAGATTTTATAGTGACATAATATGTTCCTTTAGTAATTACTCGAGATTATCATCATTCAGAGAATTTTTACTTCAGGTGTTGGGTCAGATTTAAATTTGAATTTGGATATAGGTATATATTATGATAATTGTAATTTCCATATAGTTCAGTGATTATAGCATGGTTTTAAAAAAACTTCTGTACCATTGATATTTTCGTTTTGCTCCCATCCTACTCCTTCTCAGTTCATACTGAGTGGCGCCCACAATGGGCTTATATCACCAAAAAAATGTATTTCATAATTCCATAGAACTCACCCAAACTGGCTCACCACCGCAAACCTTTTCTTGCTGTGAGCTCCCTACGTTTTATAAAAAAATATTGATGTGACCTCAAAATAAGACTATTCCAGACAGAGATAAATGATACATGATTTCTGACAGAGTGAATTAGCGCGAGTTGCCTTAGTCTCCGTCGGACGTTTGGTATTTTCTTTCAACTATGGCGAGATGAGGTTTCTACGTCATAAAAGGGTCCGTCTTCAGAAGGTACTATCATTTATGTCCAAAAATAAAATAATCCAGTTGATTTTTCGATCGAATTATGTCGTCAATCATTATTTATGTATGAAAGGATCATTATAAACATTTTCTTGAGTTGAAAGTTTTACCAAGGAGTACACGCTCATTCACCTAATTTTTATGAAATTCAATTGAGAACAACATCAATCAATCAATCAACTTTATTATTCCCAAG